CAAATCATTTACAATGGTTTTTCAAAAATTTAAAAGAAAGTGAGTAGAAAAGAACAATTGTGGGCTACTGGGACATGGGAGAAGAAACTTCTTTATTACCAAATTAGGTAAAATATCCCCAACAATTCCATTTTTCATGTAAGCTTATTGTCACTATTCACAAAATTAATTTCGCAAATTTCATTTTCTGTTATAATGATTGTTTGATATTAGATTCCCTCACAGATACTATATTAAAGATCTACTTTTTGCATTGAGGGGTCTTTTGTACGTATATTTCGAACCATCTGGAAATAAACAATATAAGTATTTTTTGAGAACAATTGCAAACAGTCTCAAAGTGTATATATCGAACATATACTATGTGTCGTTACAGAATTTCACCTGTACAAAAAAAGATTGTTCAACTGATGGTATATATTTTATTCCAATTGTTCTCTCCTGTACAAATTAAATAGTGTATATGGAAAAAAAAAACTTATCTAATCATATTTATCCGTGTGCCAAAAAAAAAAAAAAAAATCATATTTATCCCACATAAATAAACAAACATGTTACTGTTAGAATAGATAATCATTTTTATCTTTGTAAAGATAATGTTAGCAACAAAAGAAAAATCTCTGTAAAGAGGAAAATGCATACGGTGGTGGTATACTGTTATGTGTAATCCTTTGTGCGAGTGCAAAATATTAATGTATATAGAGCAATATCTAAAAAGTAGTTTTCTTCTGACGATCATAAGGCTTGGCTATGGCTTATCGAGCCGCATTGGTATGTAGCTGACTTTTCACTATTTTATACGTTTTAACCCCAAAAAAATCATTGTAAATATCACGCTGAATTTATATAAAAACAAAATAGCAATCTGTGCGTTCCGCCAAAGTAAATCACACGACACATATTGAAAAAAAATAAAATAATTCATACAACACATCACACATGTAAAATCATTGCAAGGCCAGCAACAAAATTTAGAATCAGAGCAGCTGATTTCATATAACAACAATGGCTCTCCCATCACTTTCCTCAAGCACGGAGACTTTCTACTGACATTCTTTTTCTTAATTTAATCTTGGGATATTTAGGCCGATGTCAAACTAATCTCATAAGCGAAACAATACCAATATTTAATCTGGTTTTGAGTTTTCTAATGAAATTTAAAGCATAGATTTCATCTTCGTTCTAGCTAAGTAGCAATAATTTCATTCTCAAGATAAATCGAATCCATGATCAAATTTTTACGTCTTGCCCCCAAGTTAGCCATTAAGCTATCACTACTAGATTTTTTTACTGGCATGTTAACAACTCAGATTTGAACTTTTCTCGACTATGCTAACTTTTGAGAATTCTTACACCATGCGCTCTCGTGCAAGCCTTGGAGAAAACATTTGGTTCAAAATACAACCCCGAGACACACATTTACAATGTGGATAATTCACCTAAACCGCCTTTTAACAAAGTCTTTCTAGAAAGTTTGGGCATGCACTTTGATAAAAAAATGCTTCTTCTTTTAACACATACAAAGAAATTAGAGATTGCATCTTTTGCGATGTGAAGTTAATGAAAAAGTTTAAGATCCCCCTTTCTCTTTTCATACGTGGATGTGGTTGTTAACGGACTGAGATGAAAGATTCATCATGCCCGAAGGGACTGCCCAAATTAGTTTCTCTTTTTCTTTTGGTAAATCAGATTAGTTTCTCAAGCAACGGTTGATAGGATATGCAAAGAAAGGAACAATAGGTTGCACAACCACATCACATCAACACCTCCAGCAATTTTCAAGGCTATTGACTGGCTCGTCCGACATGCAATTTGACCAAAATAAATCAAAATTTTTTAGTAATCTGATGCAAACTTGGCTCACATATAAATAAAACATATTCTCCCCGAACAGAATTTTGAGGTTTTTCCCTGTTTTTTTCATTTCTTTTGCAAGGCACAACCTGTTGGTTGGTCGATTTTGTAATTTATACAAACAACATCATATATAAAACATAAAAGTCATAATAATGTTTGATACTAGGAGTTGATTTGATGAATAAAAACCACAGTAATAGAAAGATCGGTTGTACGAGAAGAAACAAATTAAATTATTGTAACTTGGAATACATCACGTTTTCCAGTTTCATGTAAATACTGAATAGTATTACTTATTTTTTCACCGCGTAGTCAAAAAATTCTTCCCACTGATCTCTCAATCTTAGTTTGGTCGGTTAACTTTACAAATCGCCAAAGTAAAAGGGTCGGTTTGGAAGAAAACAACATGGATCAAAACATATATTACCCCTATCATTCGGAGATCGATCGGTTTACTTTCTTTTTTGGTATAGGAAAAAGCCCTTTTATTTTTGCCATGATAACGTGGAAAAATGGTCCCGAAAGAAGAAAATGTCCAATGTAAAGGACATTGAAATGGGGCCATCGAAAAAATAGCGTGTGAATTTTGTGGTGTGTAGATGTGGTGCTCTGTCCACAGATATATTAATGGTCACGTTGGTTTGATATATCCAAAACGATTTTAAATCGGGGCATGCAAGTACGTGTTATAACCAAAAAAACTAAAGTGGTACATGCAATTTATGTTTATTACAGAATAGGAAATTAGTTCCCGATTGGTTGGAACACCAAATCATTTTAACTGGTTAATCACTTTGATCGTACCCCTAACGACGATATTTTCCATGCATCCCATGTGTATCTTTTCCTCCTTATTTATGGCTTATCGTATACGAGGAAACTCCTTGCCCAAGTTAGTTTCTGACTTTATAGTCTATATACTGCAAATAATGTATTCTCTGTGAGAATAATGAGAGCTAAGCTTTTTTTTTATTACTACCGATCCAGTCGCAAACCCCACGTGAGTAACATTTGAAATGATTTAGTAATGTGAAATGCTTAAAAGTATATAGAGTTAAAATATTCTTTCAGAAACCACAAAGGTTATAAATACAATTTAAGGAAAAATTGATACTGTAAAACACAGCTAAGAGGTTTTATGAATAAATGAGTATATATAGGTTATTAATAGCACGAATATAAATAAAACATGCATGTGCTGTGAAGTTTAAATAGTAAGTACTCACGTCGCACTTCTTTTATTCCTTGTTCTGTCCGAACAACACATCACTCAAAAGTCCTATGTTTAATAAGACCTGTTCTATAACCCACGATATGTGCAAATACGTTAAATCTCATCCCGAAAGTTAGCATATCGATTGACTGAAAGTTCGTAAGCTTTAACAATGGCACATGTGCTCGATTTGACACATAGGCTTCAAATGGTAACCAACGAACGATCCCGCACCACAGTTAACAATAACAAAAATCTTTACATATACTGTATATCTATATATTTTATAATTGTTAGAACCGCACTGCAACTGAACCGTTTGTCATGCATCGCTCAATCCGCTGTTACTATTCGGAGCTATAGTGTTATGAGTAATTAATGGAATAAAAACGACAAAATGAATAACCAAATAAGTTACAATATTGTCATACACTCAGAAGTTCATAAAACATGGTCTTGATGGATCTTATTTATAAACCATACGTTAGAACTATAAATATTTGAATTTACGAATAAAACGTACCAATGTGTAATTATTTTTCTAAATTTTATATTCAAGTTTGCTCCTGTAGATCTAAATGGATGTTGTGCCATATCCATAACTATGTGATACATGTGTGTTCATGGTAAAAGGAGGATTTTCTTGGTACCTGCAGTGAACAAAAAAGACGCTCTCGCCTCCGAATATATTGGCAAGAAAAACTATGTCTCTGACGTTTACTTGAGAGTACAACTCCATCTCTAAGTGGGATATGAGCTGATGGAGGTGGTGGGTGCATACGTGTGTACTTGATTCCTTCATTCATCTATAGAATCAATTTGGCGGCGAATGGCTAAAGCCGATAGTATCACAACCAGCCAATATGAGCTGAGCCGAGTCGGTACGTAATAGTTCCTCACGTGTCAAGCCTTTATGAGCCGTATCCATAAAAAAACTCCCACGTGTCCGCTCCAGTCAAATCAAAGTAGGAAGCGACGGTCAGATATTTATCTGGATCCACACTCCTTTCTCTCCTCATCTCAGCCGTCCACTGCTCTTGTATGTTGTATCTCACTATCATACAATTACTTTTTTATCAACCAAATACTCGTTAAATTTATGTGAAGAAGATTATCGTGTACTACATTTAAATTGAATATTTGGGTTACGAAAGTCACATTTAAAACTAATAGCATAGAACTACTAGTGATCATTTTATGTCAAATACTTTGGTTTACCTTTCTTTCTTCTTTGTGTGAATTTTGTTAGTTAAGTGAAAACTTAGCTTACGTGTACCACATAATTGGGAGAGATTGTTCTCATTCTTCATTAAATACACATAACCCAGCTATCGTTTGCTTTTTTTCTAGTTTGGTGTATTTATTGCTTTTACATACACAAACAATACTACTTTATATAGACCAATGTGTATGTCTCCATTACATATACAACTATATTACGTTATGAAACTATATAAATTATTTACTTATATAAGCAGAGTCCACAACTTTCATGAGTCAGGTCCTTTCCTTTTCAAAGATTTCTCTAACTCCACTATAAATCCCAAGTTCTCTCACTTCTTTAATCATCTCCACTATAAAAGGAACTAGTTCATCTCTTTCTCTTCCATCACCTTTCCCTCTTCTCTCTTCTTCACTTCATCTACTTACAATAAATACTGTCTTCAAGAACCACAGAGTTACAACTCTTTTACAACTTTGGTTAGTCAGATCATATATTCATTAATAAAAAAATACAAAACACTCTATAATGAGATTCTCTCTTTCTCCAGCACGTCCGTACAGTGTAGTACCTTCACTACCAAACTACGACGTTGTTTCTCACGTAAATGTTACCATGTCGTGGAACCGTAAGTGTCAATGCGTACTTACTCTCCCTTCTCCTACAATATCATCTACTTCCCGGTCCCCGGTTATACCCAAACCAGAAATGTGGGAGGGTTTGCTACTAAACCAAGATTATAATTCCGGTGAACTGCCGTCCTCTGGTTCGACCAACCCGGTTAAGCTAAACCGGAAATGGAAGGAGTACCAGGGGCTTCAGAATTGGGAAGGTCTCCTAGACCCATTGGACGATAATCTCCGAGGGGAGATTCTCCGGTACGGTCAATTCGTGGAATCGGCTTACCAGTCCTTCGATTTCGATCCTTCGTCACCAACCTACGCAACGTGCCGGTTTCCTAGGAACACGCTGTTAGACCAATCCGGTTTACCTAACTCCGGTTATCGAGTGACGAAGAATCTCCGTGCCACGTCAGGTATTAATTTACCACGTTGGATTGAGAAAGCGCCTAGCTGGATGGCCACACAGTCCAGCTGGATCGGCTACGTGGCGGTATGTCAGGACAAAAACGAGATCTCACGGCTCGGACGCAGAGACGTCGTCATCTCCTTCCGTGGAACCGCCACGTGTCTCGAGTGGTTAGAGAATCTCCGCGCCACGCTGACTCATCTCCCTGATGGGCCGAGTGGACCTAATCTAAACGGGTCTAACTCTGGGCCCATGGTCGAGAGTGGATTCTTAAGCTTATACACATCAGGGGCCCACAGTTTGAGAGACATGGTGAGAGAAGAGATCTCGCGCCTGCTCCAATCCTACGGCGACGAGCCGTTGAGTTTAACGATAACGGGACACAGCCTCGGAGCTGCCATCGCGACGTTAGCCGCGTACGATATCAAAACGACGTTTAAACGTGCGCCGATGGTAACCGTTATGTCTTTCGGAGGTCCACGCGTCGGAAACAGATGCTTCAGGAGACTCCTTGAGAAGCAAGGCACCAAGGTGTTGAGGATCGTTAACTCTGACGACGTCATCACCAAAGTTCCAGGTGTCGTTTTAGATAACAGAGAGCAGGATAACGTGAAGATGACGGCGTCAATGCCGAGCTGGATACAGAGACGAGTGGAGGAGACGCCGTGGGTTTACGCGGAGGTCGGGAAAGAGCTGAGGCTTAGCAGCCGTGACTCACCGTACCTGAACGGCATCAATGTTGCCACGTGTCACGAGCTGAAGACGTATTTGCATTTGGTAGACGGGTTCGTGAGCTCCACGTGTCCATTCAGAGAAACGGCTCGAAGAGTTCTTCATAGATGAAGAAGATACATTAGACATTCGTATAGCTATTTTAACTTTGTGCAGAAAAAAAACATTAAACCGAGAAAAAAAACTCCGGTTTAGTTCCGGTTAATATGCATCTCTAACTCAGTGGTAGAATCAGAAAGTACGTATTATAAAGACAGCTTTAAAAGAGGAAAAGTGTAAAGAAAGTCCGTATTATATATGTTTTTCTTTTTTAATTATGGTATTAATTAAATATTAAATTGTGGTCATAAATCGTAAACTTTTAGATGCATTGTTTCTAAAAACGGAACTTCTAAAGTAGAAAATTGTCTTAACTTGACCCAAAGGTTTGCGAAAAGACCGATATATCCCTACTCCGTCCAAATTTGAGAATGTATCTATGGTGCCACGCCACGTAAGCACCGACCGGTTGAAGAAGTTGACTGAAAATGTACTTTGCAAAATCTAAGAAGGAATCAGTTGCTTGTGAGATCAAAATCCAAAAGCCAAATAAGATCACGCATCATGCGCCGTCCATATATACTTATTTTCTTCGTTACTATGAAAAAACACCTTACGCGTTATACATTACAACATCATTTTGGCAATGCAGCAAAAGCGAACTTTATAAATTAAATATACAAAGTTATCGAATAACTTATTCAATTTATCACTCCCTGCAGTACTGCTTTCGTGGTACTATCTAATAATGTACATAAATCTTCTCACAAGTCATAGCAAAAACAAAAAAAATATATGGTAGCATTTTTCTCGTCCCAAATTCCATGGTCAAAAATAACTTGTGATCGTATAATTAATGACTGTTTTCATGATTATAATACTGTTTTTAATATATTTTTTAACTAAATTTTAAATGTCATTATACTGTTAAATAATCTGTTTGAATGAATTTTTTAATTGTTATCATAGATGGATCCACTTGAAGGTGACGACGTCAACATGACACAGTAAAATACTATAAATTCAAGTTTGTAATGTATATTGTGACTGTAAATAATTTTTCTGCTGAATCCGGCAATGGTTGTTTGCTCTCTTCAGTTTTAGTACACCAAAGCTTAAAGATAGTTTAAATCACAACAGTAATCATCCTTTGTTTTTTTTTGAAACACCAACAGTAATCATCCATATATCCAAAATTGTAGGAAAACTTAATCTTCTCCTATAGTAAAAAAGCACTAGGAAAACTTAGCATGCATGAGTTGGCTTTCAAGAAAAAAATTCAACATGAGGTACCTCATATTAGTCATGATAATATGAGTCAAAATGAATTATTTACACCTGGATTGTATCAATTAATTATTCAAACCGATTTATTGACTACCTTTAGTTTCATTTTTAATCAAATGAATGAACTACTTACGTTATATTACAAACATGCATATATTTACACAAAACTCGTTACATCAAACTTAACAATAAATCAAAGTTGATTTCGATATAGTGATCCAACGAGTTACTAATACTAAGTGATAATATATATAGTCATTATCGTTTGAGGGTAGAAACCAGCAATCGATTTAAACTTTGCTTCCGATTTTATGTCACTACAAATTACACATCGTACCATCAGAATTCTCTGATGATGATTGATGACCAAACCAAAAATGATTTAACTGACTAGTGCATGCATGAGAACGTGCGGTCAACGTCAACATTTCTATGGTTACATAGAGGAAGAATATATGGCATGCATGATCCAAGCCGTATACGCACATATATAGGCACGTCTTAGTCTGAATTATATATGTTCAAAACTGGATAGATCGCATTACCGAGTACCGACCCATACCTAAAATGCTCGTTTTTTACACCCTGAAGTATCAAAGATATATTCCGGGATAAATCATTGTAGAAAGAAATATCATTGTAAAAAGTGATCATCACTTGTTACTCTATACTATCTCTCTTTTTGTTACTTCTACTTTGTTGGAGCTCTAGCCATATCACTCCTCTGTCTAAACAAAACAAAAATAAAAATATTGGAATGGAAACCGCCACACATCGTTATAATTTTTTCCCACAGTAAAAACATTTTCAATCTCACTTTTTTCACTCTAAAATAAAATTTAGAGTAAGATATTCAAATAGTACTTTATTTTTCACTATATGAAAGAATAAAAAATGGGTTTACTATATATAGAATAACTTATTTATTTTTTCATCTCCCTTTTTTATTCTAAAATATAATATCATTAGAGTAACAATCACTTTTATTATAGAGTAATTCTATTTTTAGAAAAAAGTAGAATAAATGGGGATGGTCTAAAATGTTCATCAACTTTTTGTAATAATTGAGGTTAGATTAGATTCAACAAGACAGAAATATAGATAGCGTTTCCTATTTTCTTTGTTATTGTGGAACTTTTAGTTTTTTTATAACTCTCCGACCACTTTTTTAATTTAGTCCTCTACACGAATTGTTTTTGTTCAGTTGTAACTTTTCTTGGTTCGCGCTTCAGCATTTTTTTCTCTCTACAGTTGTCTTAAAATTTTGCCTGGACAGGATTGAAATCAAAGAAAATTACATTATTGACATGTATTGATATAGAAGAAAATCAAGACCGTGCTAAACTCATTGTTCCTATAAATAAACTTGTTTATAACATTTAACCTCAAGTAGGCATATCACAGTTTCCTGAATAAACAAACTGAAGTTGGTTGTTAACAAATTAATTTACTTACTTGCTGTGATAGTCAAGGTGACAAATTTAAAAAGTTCAAATAATTGTATTACAACAAATAAGTATTTCCCCTAATTTCACATTTGTGCGTGGATCATGTGATAGAACCAATGTTTTTTCAATATGACATCACAATTTCACGAAACTTTCGGCCTAACTTTTTATGACACTTTGAAGCTTTCAGCCGAATTTTGAACAAGGACCAACAAACACAGTGGTCTGTACGCCCTGCGGAGACCACTACAAAGTCCACAATAGTGATATTATTATACAACTATATTTTTAGTCTCACTAGTATCTAATAGCTAGTAATACTATAATAGTATAGTTTTCAATATAAAACTACAAAATAGACGTTTTTTTGTCAACATATTTATATAAACATTTAGATGAAAGAAAATGGTAAATAAAATAGAGGAGTGTGTGTGTATGCCTTTATGCCTCCTGCATCTCAACATTATGCAAAATTGCGGCTGCCCAACAACCACTCAAATGAATTAGTCAAATCATCGAAATCAATAGATGTCGTAATCGCTCTCACCCAATTCCGACCTTCATTTCAACTCCCGTGCACTTTCCAGTCAATTAATTATTAATTATTTAACTGTATTTTGTAAAATTATGAGAAAATGATGTCTTTTTTTTTNCATCTCAACATTATGCAAAATTGCGGCTGCCCAACAACCACTCAAATGAATTAGTCAAATCATCGAAATCAATAGATGTCGTAATCGCTCTCACCCAATTCCGACCTTCATTTCAACTCCCGTGCACTTTCCAGTCAATTAATTATTAATTATTTAACTGTATTTTGTAAAATTATGAGAAAATGATGTCTTTTTTTTTACTGAATGCAAGAAAAAATACTTTTTATTTTATTTTATTTTAGAAATATCCCAGATCTATATAGAGACTCAGACTAATTCTGAAAAAATAGTATAATCCACAAATAGATCTTCACTTCGAATATTTAGATAGACCATAAAATAAATCCATATCTACGTGGCCATAAGATAAAATATAATAGACTGTGTTTTCGAATCTTGGTTATTTAGTAAATTCTAAAGTTCGCCAATTACTGATTCTGATGTAATGTAGAGCGTCTTGGGGAATCTAACATTGATGTTAGTCTTGGGAACACTGTATGTATGTTCCAGGTGCTTCTTATGTATAAACTGAACCGAATTAATTAAGCTCATTAGTTTATTATGTTGGTTATTACTTATAAGGATGACCTGTTTTCTTTTGATTAAAATTGATAATGCAATGAACAAGGGTTGTTAAAATAATGATTTATTAATTGTTTCTTTGAAAAGCCGATCATATATTATTACTGAATACTTATATATATTTTTTGGTAAAAGGATACTTATATATCTGTCAAATTGTTGAGGATACTTATTTAAAGCAATCTTGATAATATGGAATATGTACATTATGTTCAAAACCTTGTTTTAAAAATATTAATATCTGTCCACAAATAAATTAACAATCATTAAGTTATTAATTTTCTGTAACTGTATTATTTATGGTCAATAATATGGTAGTTACGGAGTTCCACGAGTAAGGCGAATATGGTCCTACAAGGCTACAAGAAAGAAATTTTAAAAGTAGAACCAGCATGCTCTAATTGCTCCAAAAAAAAAAAAAAGTAGAACCTAAAATCACCAAGAAGTACGAAACGATATTATTTTAATCTGATCCAACATTCGACGTTCACATTTCATGGTGTTATTGAACACATATTTACTGGTCGTAAACTAAACTGAGTACTAGCCATAAATGGTTTCCTTCTCTCCAATGTACTTTTATATAAAGATTGTTGCTCTTCCACGTACGATTCTACCGGCTTAATAACTAACATGCTATCCACCTAATCATTTACTCGTATCGTATGTGAACCGGCAAGTGTTGTCTAACAAAACATGTACAAGTCTATGGCTTGTTACAAAGAAAGAAAAAAAACGAGAAAGAAGAACAAGTCTTTCTACCGTTTTCAAGTTTGGTCTTCAAATTTCTGTTCGAAGTCTCACAAGGCGTGAAACACACACACTTGAATGTATTTTCTCCCTTTTCTCGGTTTTCTACATATAAATTTGAATTGGGTGTTAACAAAATAGAAGTCTTGACTCTTGTACGAATACTAATCTAATATGATCACTCCTCCCTGATAAAATTCACGTAATTCTAAATAAGACTTGGAAATTTAAATATACCCTATTTTTAAAAAGAGATAAAACATAGAAAAGGTCTCTATAGCTTTAAGAACTTGATGAATACAAAACATTAAAATAAGTAGTACTGTAATAACCCATGGATAACAACAAATAAAATAGCACAGCAATATAGTTCTCAAGTCTCAACTATAACGTCAAGAGAAGACGTATTCAACCTCGCGTTCTTCACTTTCGTGTTTCTCATCTGCACCTATAGGAGGCGCCCACAAGCCTACGTAAATAGTTCATTTTGACTCATATTATCATGAACAACCACATCACCAAACATAGAATACCTTTTTTATGATAATATGTTGTAAAATGGTTTCATTCTCTCCAATGTACCTTTTTATATAGAGATTGTTTCTCTTCCACCGGCTTGATAGCTAACATGCTATCCACCTAACTAAATACTCGTATGTGAACCAGCAAGTTTTATCTAACAAAACATGTACAAGACTATAGCTGGTTGGTTACAAAGAAAGAAAAAAAACGAGAAAGAAGAACAAGTCGTTCTACCGTTTTCAAGCTTGGTCTTCAAATTTCTGTTCGAAGTCTCACAAGGCGTGAAAAACACACACACACTTGAATATTCCTTAGAGCATCCACATCAATGAACCCTCTCTTGAGGTTCATTGAATCATTTTTTTATTACTAAAAACTTTTTGTTTTCTTTTTGATTTTTTTTTTTTTAAAAAAAAGAAGATCTAGACCAATCCCGAGTCATCACGTGTTGAACCTCAGGAGAGAGTGGTTCACCGGGATGAATTTTAGGATAAGGATTCATAGGTTTTTATTATTTTATTATTATTTTTTTCTTGATTTCCGTGTGAATTCCCCCCATAAACCTTTAATGGGGTGCTCTTAGTTTAAAAATATTAAAAAAGTCTATATATATATAGCTTTAAAAAGAACCATCGGCTTGAAAGTCAACGTATGAATTGGTCTTCTAAGCCCAATAAGGCTCAAGCCCAACAGTAATTCTAGATTGTGCCCACCGAAGCCAATCGTATTTTACGCACTGATTTAGTAATAACTTTTTCTTTTTTTTTTAAAGAAAAACAGAAAATAGGATTTGATAAACCCTAAAAACCCTTTGTCTGCGCCGCTCTTTGGTTTCAGCTTCTCCGACCAATCGTCAGGTTCGTGTCTGATTTTATAATCTTCCAGTAACTCAGATTTCTTCAAACGATAGATCTGTCTGTGTTGATTTTCGCATTTTATATTTGGAAATTTGCATAAGATAGAAACCAAAGAGCTCAAGTTCTTGTCTTGTCTTTGTCTGTTTCAGAAACCAAACATGTATAATCGCAAGCCAATGGTGAAGAACAAACAAGCCATGGATCATGCCGTTGATCCTAACATGAGCTTCGGCAATATTATGAGAGAAGTTCAGCAGTTTGGTAACAACACTCTCTCCTTTATCTTTCGCAAAACAAAAAAAAAATTGTTAGCTTTTTAGCATTATGATATAAAGGGAAAGTGAGGAACTTGTTTAGGCTGCTTGAATAAGACAATTGATTAGTTATGTTCTCTTTTAACTGATCTTTTAAATGTTTTTAAAGCTACAACACATATGACATGGAAGGATAAGAAAGCTTTGGAGAATCAGAAAGTCACTGAACTTGGTGGAAAGGTTTGATTTTTGTTTCCCCTGTTTCGATTTGTTTCTTCTTAAAGTTACAGTTTTTACGAGATGGGTGATCGTTTTTTTTGTTGTTGTTGTTGTTTATTGCAGCCTCAAAAGAAACAGAGGCTACCACTCAGTGTAGCCAGAGTACAGATGAAGAAACAGAAAGAAAGAGAAGAGAAGATGTTGGAACAGGTTTAAGCTATTAGATGCTAATGTGACCTATCAGGAAACTAAGTCTCACTCTCATTTGTTATGGTATTGTGTGGTTTTGCAGAATATGATTCTTGGCAAATTTGGAGGACAGTTTGGTGGTACAAGTACTAAGAAACCCGTAGAGAAGAAGCGGAAGCCAGAGGAGAGAGTTCTGAAATCAACTTTTGGGAATTTCAGAGGTGGTGTTCTTGATGTTAAGGATTTACTACGTTCTGGTGGCTCTTCAAGTAATGGCGGAGATTACAACTTCGGTAAGAACAAGAGCAAGTCCAAAGGCATGGGAGGAGACCTAGGAGGAGGAGGAGGAGGAGGTGGAGGTGGAGACATCAAGAAGAAAGGGAAGAAGAAAGGAAAGAAAGGGAAGAAAGGTAAGAAAGGAGGTGGTAAGAGGAAAAGCAAGTAATCTCTATCACCTGTGTAATACTCTGTAAACCATTTTTCACATTAACGGTTAGAAAAGGAAAGCATATTGGCAAAATTATCTTCATCTCATACCTGAGTTACACATTAAGAAATGTATCAGTATGATGTGTCATATGTCCTAGTTTCATATTCAATCTCCTTGCATTACATCGTTCTTGAACCCTATTTGTAATCATCTTTCCAAATTACAAAAATTATCATGAGTGGTGATGACAATCATTCTTAATTTCTATATTAGTTGTAATCGATATGGGCAAGTAGACAATGTCTAAATAAACGTAGAAAACATACGGATCAGTGAATATATTTGCTTGATCAGATATTATGACAAGTTCTTATTTTATTTTTTGAATTAATGTAAAATTTATTCAATCAAAAACCTTTGTACATAAAGTGAACCTTTCAAAAACTTTTGTACATCAAGTGCTTCACTTGTTTTTATGTTAAGAACAAAAGTTAATGTTATCGGTTTGATTTGGATTTGGTGCGGTTTGATTAATTCGGTTTCAGAATTTTGCTAACCGAGTAAATCATAACTAGTTTGATTTAAATCGGTTTTGGTTCTGTTTGTATTCGGTTTATTGTGTATTTGGTTTAGTTTGTATTTCAGTTCGGTTTAATTGGTTTGAAGAAAAATAATGTTTTAAAAAACTCATGTTGGTTATTAAACAATAACCAATGTAAACTAAATCCAATATAAATTTGAAACAAAAATTTTTAAACACACACACAAAAAATATTATAAGAACACAATCAAATTAAAATTAACTAGACTAAACAACGAATTTAAAAAAAAACATCATTAACAATATTTTGTTAAAATAAACTATATAAATTAAATCTAGTATAAAACTAAAAAAAAAATCTTAAAATCCACAATTTTTTTATAAAAACACAATTAATCCAAGTTAACTAAAGTAAATAGAAAATGAAAAATTCAACATCATTAATAAAGTTAATAGTGATTTTAGTCATAAGATTTTAGTATATTGTATATTGCTAGTATGTTTAATTCAAATAGTAATAAAACACATTGGTTTCTTAATTCGGTTTGGTTTAACTTTGATTTGGATCAATTTCGGTTGATTTGAGTTGCGGAAGTCATAAACCAAATTATTTGATAATAATTTTGGTTTGATTTGGATCAGTTTCGGTTCGGTTGGTTTGGTTTGATTCGGTTCGGTTCGATTTAGTTTTTTTTGCTTACTCAAACTAATATCCATCGTTTTTCATAGGGAAATTTGTCCCTATAACCATAAAAACACAAATACACTAAATAACCAAAATCACACCCTCTCTCCTCTTTTTTCTTCATATCTCTCTCTCTCTTAAAATATAATTTTTTTTTAGCTATATGGCAAATAAGAACATCTCCAGTGGTCCACTATATTTTTTTCTCTCGAAATAGTGTAACTCTATAATAGAGTTGAGTTTTTCTCTAATGGTATTCTATTTTAGACTGAAAAATAGAGTTATGAATAAAACAAAAACAACTTACTTTATATATAGAGTAAACTTATTTTTTACTCTATTATAGTGTAACAAATATAATACCATTAGAGTTATTTTACTCTAAACTCTATTTTATAGTAGAAAATAGAATGGGGTTGGAGATGTCCTAAGTCTTTTTTTATACTCTTAGCTAGAAGTTACTTTGCCTGAGTATTAAAAAACGGTAGGTTCTATTATCTTGTTAAGTCATCTCATCATTGCTTTTTGATTTTATCCAATTCTCCAAACCGAAAAGAAAAAAATCTTTGCGCCTTGAGCAATTTGGAGTTGGGCTAAGGAAAAAAGCGAGAAATCACATGCGTTTAGATTATTTTCTCTCGTTTATTACATTTTCAGGTCAATAACATTTTTCAGTTTCATTATCTTTAGTCAAAAAGGATGAAACGTCGCCATTGGATGGATTTGGGGTTACATCAATAATGATTGAAGATTTGAAACTTGAAAGTCGTCACTTATTATTACTCAAGAATTGGATTTTCTCCCCCAATGAAATGATGTGATTTTACGTGAATTATTAGTGCTTTATGTTGAAAATTCTGAAGCCTGAAAGTCGTGGACTGTATAACCCTACTATTGATTTTACGTGATTGAGTGAGTGCTTTATGCTGATCGTGCCAAAAAATATATGTGATGGAGTATGATGACAAATCACTTTAAATTCCTAGCTGGTATCAGGACCTATCAATGCCTCGCCGTCCATTTGTTTCTACCATTGTACGTATCCTAAGTTGCGACATTAGATTGTAACACTTTTGTAAGTAGGTATACATTTTTTTTGTCCAAAAATACGAGTAACGAAGTTAATGACACCATCTTTGTCAACTAGTAAGCGATACTAGGTAAAAGTTAAGTCATTCATATACGATCTTCTCTGTTTTATTATACTCACCGGCCACAGAGTTTGAAAGTGGAAATTACCGAATAAGATATTAAGAAAAAAAATTAAGAAAAAGAATGATGGATATGGTTTTTTTTTGTTTCCCGAATGATGGATAGGTTTGTATATGAAAAAGGACCAAGAACATACGGGCCATATATGAGACTGGGCCGAAACTTTGATTAAATAAAAATCCTAGGCCATTTTAAATACGTGTTGGAAATGTAGAATTAGTCTCGAACCCATATCAAATATAGTGGAATTTTCTTTGTTAAGGAAGTTATTTTATAAATCAAACAAGGTAAAATCATTAGATTTTTACGTTTAAAGACTGGTTCTGACAAACAAAAAAAAGACGTTTACAGTTACAAAACATGGATATACACTATATACATCAGCCGAATTTACACTTTGATCTTATTCAAACTAGATCAATGACCCACATATTAGGTTATTCTGGCTTATATAAGTAAATGGATATATACTTTGAATATGAAATTTTAATTATGTCAGTGAGGAGGAAAGAATAAAGCATAATGTGATGAGAATGGAATCAGAAGAGTTCAAAATTTAAGAAACGTGTTGCTTTTTTCCCTTTGTATTGTTTCGATAAGTCTATCATTTTTGGTGTTCAAAGTTTCAAACCCTTCTTTATTTTCTTCTAAGTGCTTTTCAGTAAAGAGAAGGGCTCAGATTCAAGTCCCCACCTATAAAGATACCATAGTTAGTACCACACATTCACACCCATTTATTCCACATACCTAAATACAAAATATCTTTACCTAAGAGCTTGGTATTTAGTAAAAGGTTTACAATTTGAATATAGAATACATAGTGAGGCTATGGAGATTCCAAAACAAAAAGAATGTAATGTTCATACAAGTATGACATATTTTATTCAAAGTTAGCTAACTGCATGTGTTTCATAGAACCAATGGACAACTATTTACATAGTACCAAGGTAAAAAAAACTTTACAAAAAGTGCGTTTAATATTGATGATCTGAAGAAACCTTATACAAATATTCACATATAAACCGAGGGAGAATAAGATGTCAACCTTCTACGAAAACCAAGGGAGAATAAGATGATATAATTCCTAGAGATGATTGTGAAACACTGAAACTTAATATGAAATGTATAAAAAGAATATTGTACTATTACTTAAAAAAACAAGGGAGAATACGATGATATAATTCATAGAGATGATTGTGAAACACTGAAACTTAATATGAAATGTATACAAAAATATTGTATTATTACTAACTGATACTGAAACGAAATTTCGAGATAACTAGCTCTCTCTTTAAAACCCACGAACCATATATAGTGATTTATTTATGACAATTTTATAACAGAGTTACGCATATAATTACAAGGTAAATGATAAAATAAACTCATGGGAGTTTTTTTTACTCCATGAACAATGCCAGAGAGACGATCGCAGAAAAATTACAAATTTGATTCTATTATTACATAAAAAAGGACGAGACACTGCATGTGTTTTGGATCGTTTGGTTAATGAGATAAAGATAAAACTGACCCAGACAGATATATCTCTTCAATCCACGCGCAATCCATCTGATTCGTATTATCGATTTTACCCTTCTCTTAAAACCCTTTCAACGTCTTACTTTACTGGTCATTTTCGTCTTTAACCTTTCAAAGCCGACAACTGTCTCTGTTTGCTTATAATATTTTTGTTCTTACATTACTAGCAGTGTTAATCTTTTTATTAAAAAAATCTAATACAATTATCGTCGCAGCTTTTATTTACTTTGCAGACAAATAAAGCATCGTTCACTAAACCCACCATGATTAGAGCGTCGAGGTCCAACAATGTTTTTATAATTCAACTATATACTATTCTTATTGTTGAAATTAAGACAAATAATATTGAACTAAACTATATACTATTCTTATTGCTGAAATTAAGACAAAAGTATTATACTATTCTTATTGTTTAACTCACAAAACAATGTCCACTAATCATTGCTTTCAAGTATAATGTCCATCGAACCTCAACTGTTCCATTATAATTACAGTATATTGATATGGCCACCACCACCTGCACAAAGAGAGTAGATTCAACATAAATTAGTGGAGTTGAAGAGACATGATTAAGTTAATTACCTTTCTATTATTATTATCAAGGAACCATTTTACCTTGTCAAATACTCCTTACATGCTACTGATCATGATTATCTACCACTGTTAATATCAAACTTAAAAACTATAGTCTTTAGTTATCGATGACATTCCATTGCACTTACTCCACTTCTTTTTTCTTCTTCCTTGTTTTCACTTGTTCTTTAAGCGGTCACCATTCAAAATGCTACGATCAAGTAATGCTTCTGATAAAGACAAATATTTTGCGTAGGGGCAACAAAAGAAAAAGAAAAGTGATGGGAAATAGAGAGAAAAATAAGAAAAAAGCTAATCAACATATGCAATGGTGGGTCAATAAAGTGTTTTCACAAATCCACAAGGTTTTGATTCCTTGTCTCTTTCGTTCACTATTCATTTTTTTTCCTTATATTCTATTTACACAACAAAAGGAATAGTTCCATTCTCTCACAAAATAAAGTTTGTTTTAAAATTATTCATAAATACTATATACTCCCTCAATATTCATTTTTCTTATATTTTTATTACACAACAAAAGCAAAAAGTCCATACTCTCACAAAATAAAGTTTGTTTTTCTACTATTCATAAATACTTATATACACTATTTGTTCACCTGAACAGTCTACCAGTAATTATCAAGATTCCATACTCTATAAGAAGTTTTTTCATACAAAAGATTGGTAAAACTAAACCAAGTGATTAGAGTTGAAAAAAACTATGATTAATATCTACATTTTGGTTTTTTAACCAAAGAAAAAATGGAATCTCTCACAGACAAAAGAAAAGAAACTCTGATCAAAACATAACAAAAGAAACGTCTCAAACCAAATTGTAGGTTGAAGAAGGAACACATGTAGGTCCCACTTTAATGACTGGACCCTACAGTATACGGGTCCCACTCTCACTCTCCTTTAAATTTCCTTTAAAATAAAACAAAAAATAAATAAAATTTTCTCCGTTACCGTCAGTCGCAGCCTACAGCTATAGAGATAGCTCCCACACACACATAAAGCAAAAGCCTTTAGAGCTTTCTTCACCACTCTCAATCTTCGAGCCTGAGGAGAAGGAGACGAGGGTTTCTTCTTCTTCTTCTTTCATCGGAGTGAACATTCTCCGGTCTGCATTGTTACCGGAAAAAACTGCTCAATCTCGGGATCTTCGTCTCTCTCTTGTTTCCGGTTAGTTTCCTCTTCTAAAGTCTCTTCCTTTTTGTCGTTTTCTATATGGGTTTTGTAAATGGAAAGTTAAAAAGGAACACTTGTTTCTTAAAATCCCTAAGATGTTTATCGAACAACGGTGGATACAGACACACACACACACACACACACTCGTGTTCTGTTCTTTGTCTTGAAACCATTAATTACAAAAAAAAATTAGCCTTGATGTTTATTACCAAATCACGTGTTACAGTGTCTATTGTGGTTAGGTAGTTTATTTATTCGCCGACAAGGGAGATTTTGTTTGTATCTCTCTAATGCTAATTTTGATTGTTTTACTTGGCTTTTTTTTATAAGGTATAAAGAGATTTTGTATGAATGCTGGAGGATATGGAAAGATTTTCTGAGCTTAAGAGACTTCCTAGTAAAGGTCCTGTCTCTGGTCACTTGTCAACAAGACAGTACTTGGACTTGGGAAATAGAGATACTGGTATGCATTTGGAGTCTTTGAGGGAACGAGCTTCTCGATACAACAACAAGGGAGGAAGACCAGTGAATCCCACTACGACTTTAGGAAGAGAGCTTAGCCAAGTTCTGAATGTTCACAGAGAAGAGATGATGACGATTGGTCAGTTTGGTGGTGATGATGATATGAATGATTTTCAGGAGTTTGAGCCTGTGGTGAGGCCAACGATGGAATCAAAGTATCCTTTGCTGGAGATTGAAGAGGTCGTGGCTTGTGGTGGTGATGATGAAGCTGGTTCTAGCTCATTCCGTGGTGTTAGTCATCCTCCAGAGCCTGACGATATGGATCTTCTAACAACTGTTTATGTGCCTACTATCAACGAGAAAACCAAACCTGATTCGGTTAAGAGCATGTCTACTGGTAAAGGACCTTTCCTTGAGGATCTCTCTCTCTGCGTGCCTCCCAAGAAGTTAAGCCTGGGAGTATTCTCACCTGAAGAACCTGCAACATCTCTGTCTCCGTTCTCCATGGCTCGTGCATCTCAGAACACAGACAACTCTCTCCTACAGCAAGATTCAGACAAGGAATGTGTTTGGGATGCTTCCCTGCCTCCCAGCACCAACGTGAGCCCACATAACAGTAGTGTGGAAAGTATGAACTTCGCCAGGGCCATGAGTATGGCTAATAGCACTTCTGCTAAAAGTACTAGTAATCAGCAGAGGAACGATGTTGTGCTTAGCATGGACAAGAACTACTGTGACAACAGGAGTATCAACATGGTGTTTGATTCTTTTGAAAGCAGAGCAAGTGATAGTAGCTGCATAAGCGAAGAGAGCAGCTGGAGCAATTTCACGGGAAGTCTTAATAAGCCACACAAGGGGAATGATCCGAGGTGGAATGCTATTCTAGCTATCAGGACACGAGATGGGATTCTAGGGATGAGCCACTTCAAGTTGCTGAAACGGTTGGGTTGTGGTGATATAGGGAGTGTGTATCTAGCTGAGTTGAGTGGGACTCGGTGTCATTTTGCTGTGAAGGTGATGGACAAAGCTTCTCTTGAGAACAGGAAGAAGTTGAATAGAGCTCAGACTGAGAGGGAGATTCTGCAGCTGTTGGATCATCCGTTTCTACCGACGTTGTATACTCATTTTGAGACGGATAGATTCTCTTGTTTGGTTATGGAGTACTGTCCTGGTGGTGATCTGCACACTTTGAGACAACGCCAGCCAGGGAAGCATTTCTCTGAGTATGCTGCTCGGTATGTCTTGTCTCTCAGTTCAAACTAGGCATGAGAGTTCGGTTTTCGGTTCGGTTTTGGTTCTTGTTTTTTGGTTTTTGAAACTTAGGACCAGTTTTAATATTTACAAAATTTGGTTCGGTTTTTTGTTTGGTTTGGGTAGTAAAGTTGAGTACCAGCTAATATCCGGAACTTTTTTGTCCGGTTCGATTCCGGTTTTTTGGGTAATTTTGGATAATACGGGTAAAAACATCAGATAATTGAATAAAGTTATTGGGCATTTCAAATCATTTTTTAACATTTTAGATAAAAATATTTGGTTAATTCGGATAATTTAGTTTATAAATAGTATTTTAAGATTTGGTTATTTAAAAACTTAATATGTTTATGTATATATAATCTGTACTTTAAAATTTGGGTATCCATTCGGTTTGGTTTTGGTTTTCTCCGTTACCAGAGCTAAGTTTCATTCACTGTGATGAGTCTCACTTTCTTTATACATTTCATTTTTTTGGCAGGTTTTATGCTGCAGAGGTGTTGCTAGCCCTCGAGTATCTCCATATGCTCGGTGTTGTTTACAGAGACTTGAAACCAGAGAATGTTCTGGTTCGAGATGATGGTCACATAATGCTTTCAGACTTTGATCTCTCCCTGAGATGCGCAGTTTCTCCAACACTGATCAAAACCTTCGACTCTGATCCATCTAAACGCGGCGCCTTCTGCGTCCAACCAGCTTGCATAGAGCCTACATCATCTTGCATCATCCAACCCTCATGCTTCTTACCACGTGGCATCTTCCCTAACAAAAACAAAAAGAGCAAGACACGTAGTAAAACTCAGACGGATTTCTTCAAGTCACACCACTCAGGTTCTCTCCCTGAGTTAGTAGCTGAGCCTAACACAAGGTCCATGTCTTTCGTTGGAACGCACGAGTACTTAGCTCCAGAGATTATTAAAGGAGAAGGGCATGGAAGCGCGGTTGATTGGTGGACTTTTGGTATCTTTGTGCATGAGCTCTTATTTGGTAAAACACCGTTTAAAGGATCAGGAAACAGAGCTACTCTGTTTAATGTGGTGGGAGAACAGTTGAAGTTCCCTGAGTCACCAGCCACTAGCTACGCAGGGAGGGATTTGATTCAGGCGTTGCTGGTGAAGGATCCAAAGAACAGGTTAGGGACAAAGAGAGGAGCAACGGAGATAAAGCAGCATCCGTTCTTTGAAGGAGTGAATTGGGCTTTGATAAGGTGTAGTACTCCTCCTGAAGTGCCGAGACAGATGGAGATGGAACCGCCACCAAAGTATGGACCGATTGATCCTGTTGGGTTTGGTAGTAATAGCAAGAGAATGATGGGACCACCACCAGTATCTGCATCAGTATCAGCAGCAGCAGCAGCAGGAGGAGGAGGAGATACAAAAGCTGGTGGTAAATTTCTAGACTTTGAGTTTTTCTGAAGCTTTGAAGGGTTTGTGTTTGGTTGCTTAATTAGAATATTTAGTCTTCTTATGTCACTATATATTGTGTAACCACGTCTCAAGGAGGTTTAATAGATCAGGTTTATTTCCAATAGTAACTTAGGAGGTCCTTTTTGGTTGTATTTGAGATTAAATCTTTTTTCCATGTAAACCAAAACTTTTGTAAGGACTTGGAAAGCTACTACTAGTACTGTTGTTTATGTTGGAATCCTTTTGCTTTTGACTCAAATAGATCGTTATGTCACTGCCATGCATGTGTTGGTGGTCCTGGTCCAAGAAGAAACCCCATGTTCTTCAGACAAAGAAGAGAAATGATCAATTTGTCAGATTAAGTGAATGACAAATGTTCTACTTCTCCTATATGCATTATTGATTTATATATTAATCAAATTACTGTTTTGTGTGTTTCTGTAAAAAAAATCTTGATTAGTATTCAAATAATAACAGTATTTAATCAAGTTTTATGTTGAAAGGAATCAATGCTAAACATAGTTGGAAAAGAATGATATTATACATTTTAGTAGATAATTCAGTCTTTATGGTGTGTCCCTTACCTGTCTCAAGCAACCATGTGGAGTGGACTGTTGTCTTTCCTCATTCATAAGACTCCAAATTAATGAGTTACACTTTGGTGTTTGGTCCCATTCTACTAGATTTCCTTGATTTGATTGAACCAACCTTAACGGGCGTTTCATAAGGGCCAGCCAGGGGTATCATTTTATGGGCCTTTGGCCCATTATTGTAGTACTTTTTAGATATCGCGTTCCGCCGTTCCCTGCGTTAATAGATCGTAACTAAAAAAAATCAAATAGAATTGTTTAATTAAAATTCCTTTTGTTTGTAATAAAAGTGATGTTACGACGAAATGAATCAATGGAGTGAGTAAAACAAAAGTCACAAGTAAACAAAACGTGTCTTTGACGTACGACTTTCTCTCTCTACGTCAGGCTTAGTGTTAACAATTTATAAACTCGTGGCACGTGAAAGTTGTGTTGTTTTGATTAGTCTATACTATTTGCTTTAGATGGGAAATGATTATTTGTTTCAATTGTGGGAGCTTATGCCTTATTCCTTCTTAATATAATGAAAAATAAATATTATGTTTTGTTTATTGACACCTATATGCATCCCATACCCGTCGTTGTTGTAACGAATCTAGCTATTTCCATTGTTTTGTTGACTTCAACTGTTCTTGCGCGTTGTAAGTATTTCTAGTTTATATATTACATGCTTTTTCTTTTGACAATGTTGAATATTCATAAAGTTATAAACCTTGACATTGCGTTAGACCAATGGTAAAAGATGGTCAAGTGCAAAAACTAATATTTGTATAATTGTAAGTAAACGACTGTACGATTTACCTCCAAAGATCTGAGTTTTGGTGATTACTTGAGCTTAAATATTTACATGTTGAAAATTTTCGGCATCATGTAGTTAATTAGTATCCTTTATTAGACCCGTCATTGTATTAACGAATCTAGTTATTTCCATTATTTTGTTGACTTTCACTATTCTGTTGCGCGTCGTAAATTTATGTAATAGTTTTTTCTTTTGACAGTTGAATATTCAAAAGGTTATGAACTTTGACACTGCGATTGACTAATAGACAAAACGATAAAAGATGATCAAGTGTAAAAACTATTATTTATATATATAAGTAAACTACTGTATATGATATACCCTAAAGATCTAAGTTTTGGCGATTACTTGAGTTTTTTTTTAATTGGCAGATATTCACTTTGTTTGATATTCTAATGGTTTTGTTCCTGTGTAATTCCACACTCGTGTCTTAACTATATCATTGCCAACCATAGACAAAAAAAAAATGGATACAACAGAATGGACAAAAAATGATTATAGATATAAAAATAAGAAAAAAAGAAAGACCAAAAAGACAGAAGTCCAACAACATAAATAACTAAATATGTTGTTCTGTCCTTAAAACAACGAGGGATATATAAATAAAAACCAAGGAACCTTCTGACACACTATCATCCTAAAGCTAAAGACATCATCATGTTCAATCCCAAAGAACATTCCATGGACCTTCTCGTTCCGTACCTTTATAAATCAAAATCTCATCCGCAGTGATTTAACACTCCATCCGTCTCTTAAACAACAAAACAACAAGACATCCTTCATTTCACTCTCTAAACCCACTCTTAAACCCTAATCACGACAACAAATGTCTGGTTTTAACTACAACGACTCATTAAACCCATCTGATTCCGTTAACGACGGCGTTAACCCACCCGCTTTCTACCGGAACCCTAGTTTCAGCAACGTTATCTTAAACGATAACTGGAGCGACTTGCCGTTAAGCGTCGACGACTCACAAGACATGGCTATTTACAACACTCTCCGCGACGCCGTTAGCTCCGGCTGGACACCCACCGTTCCTCCCCTCTCCTCTCCAGCGGAAGCCACCGTGAGAGAAGAGAAGACGGTGGTTGCGTCGGAAGCGAGTGGCTCCAACGCTCAGCCGAGGCAAAAGGGAATGCAGTACAGGGGAGTGAGGAGGAGGCCGTGGGGGAAGTTCGCGGCGGAGATAAGGGATCCGAAGAAGAACGGAGCTAGGGTTTGGCTAGGGACTTACGAGACGCCGGAAGACGCGGCGGTGGCTTATGACCGAGCTGCGTTTCAGCTTAAGGGATCGAAAGCTAAGCTTAACTTTCCACATTTGATTGGTAGCTGTCAGTACGAACCGGTTAGGATCAGGCCTCGCCGCCGTTCTCCGGAACCTTCGGTCTCCGATTACTCTTCACCGGAGCAGAAGAGTGTAGCCCACGTGGAGGACGGAGAGTCTAGCTTGGTTGTCTCGGATTTGGACTTCACTACTGTGGATCCATCGGCATATACGTATTTTGATAATCGGCAATGAACTTATTACATAAAGGCTTTTGAAATAAAATTTAATTTGTGTGTATGGTTTTGCTTTCTCTGATCGATGATACGATCAATAGGTTTTGATCATATCATATGTAATGTGATTATGTGATGGAAACTCAATATGGACTCTTTTTATAGTAACTCTGATAACTTCCATAATCATTTATTCCTATTTGTTTCTGATATTAAATTTTCCTTTTAAAAACAACTAGAGTCAAACTAGGAGATTTTCATTTTGATATGGGAGCAGCCTCATCCACAGTTTTTCTAAACATTAGTAAAATAATTGATAAGATTTTCAAAACCTTAGGTATTTATCTAATAGTGTCTCAAATTCTCATATCATAGATGAAGTTGCTTTGACATGCAGTAACTTGTAGGCTGTTTAATCATCATTGTCGGTTGATCAAACAAATATGACAGTTAAAAGTAGGTGGGTGGCCACGTTATAAAAATGGATATTAAATAGTTAATTAACGTAATAACATGCTAATTATTTTACCAAAAACATGCTAATTGTTTATGTTCGGCACCTAACACTCTATTTTTAACAATCATATAACGATTCAGTATTAGTTTACTGAGAATATATTAGGCAGAGAAGTCGTATATTGGCATCACATCGACATTGTGCTGGTCATCCATTGCTCATCTTGGGTGTGATACTGTAAATTGAGATTGGTGATATTTGCATTCGATAACATCTGTGAGGTTTTACAATTTTAAACTAGTTTTTTTGGTTCGGTCCATTAAGTTATATTGTAAACTTAATGGATTTTCATTTTCATGTCTGATAATCAGACTTTAATCAGATTATTTTTAATCGAGTTAAATTTTTTTAAAAAGTGAATATTAATATGCTTTTCAATATAAATAAAGCTTGTTTGAAAAGAATAGTCCAAATTTTGAAATTAATTGAATATATACAATTTATTTTATCAAAAAGTAAGAACAAGTAAGACCAATTTATAATTGAGAAAGCTTAGGTTAAAAAATAATACAATGAATAATATAGCTTCAAATTTGAAGCAACACTATTCATTGTTTCATTTTGAATTAACAAATAAATTACAATTGAAGCAAAAAAATAAAAAATGAAACACTATTGGATATTGTTTTAAGATGTCATACACTATAGATGATAAATTATTTATGTAAATTTTGTGCACTTTTTTCCGTTAATATATGATATAAAATTTTAGTTAATTTTGACCCCAATTAAAAAAATTTCTAACTACACCACTGCTTGCACCACTATTTGTTAGTCAAGATTCTCACACGAATGTTTTGACAAATCACATCTTTAATCGAATTAAATCACGGGCAGTCTGGAGAAAATCTAAGTCACAATGTTTTTTTATCATGAAAATGTGGTATGTTGTTTTGACGATTCCTAATAATAGCAAAGCTTCTCTCTGCCTATTTTATTCTTCTACAATTCTGACTACTATAACCACGATGTCTGTATGAACAAACAAACTTTGCAGAACCGTTTCACCTAATCGATCGTGGTGAAGTCAGCAATGGATTTGTTGGTCACTATGTACCACATCATCTATGTGCACTTTCACGCATCTTCTGGTTTTCAAGCATTTCTTTCATGACAAAGAGAAAAATTAGGAAGTTTACGAAGCGAAAGATGCCATGAAAACAACAAGAAGCTTTTTCATAAACTCGTTTTGAGGAACATGAGAATGGTGTTTAATTTCTTATGCTGACCTATAATTTTCAGATTTCGCTATGTGTGTGCTGAGTCTTACTCTTACTTGGTCACCTTTAACTGTCATGGAGACACTACATAAGTTCAGTCGTTTGTGTGGCAGTAAAATGTAGTTGTGTAAAAAAAAAAAAGAATTTTATCCTTAAATTCAAGAAAATTAAACAAGTATATCGAATATTTAAGGGAAAACTGTCATTTAAATTACGAACTTTCAAATTTCGTTGAAAAAATCATAAACTTTTCCTTGGACCATTTAAAACACCAACTTAGTTAGAATAGCCATTTTAAATATCAATTTAGTTTGACTAAACCAAATTAGACACGACGTTAACTCGGATAACGGATTGATTAGACGGAGTTAATCGCCGTCTCTAATCTCCTGTTAAGTTCAAACGGCGTCGTTTTAATTTTTTAAAATTGTTGCATTAAAGGAGAATCGAACCGATAACCAAAGGAAAACTCGTTCCAACACAGAACCACTAGACCACTTGCACTTTTCTTAATATGAATGAATACTAACAGATATTATTATAAAGCCTCCAAATCATTTTCTCCAATCCTAAATCCCTAAATGATTATATAAACGTTAAAATTTATAAATAAATAATTAAAAAAAAATCGTAAAAATATAAGTAAAAATATTAAAAATTATAAAAATTATTAAGTTATTTATAAGTAGTATTAAAAATATTAAATAACGAAAATTTTTAATCATTAAGTATTATTGAATATCTAATTATTAATTATTAAGTATTTTTAGTTATTGAATATAATTATTTAATTATTAAGTATTATTGAATAATTAATTATTAAATAATAACGAAAATTTTCAATCATTAAGTACTATTGAATAATTTATTAATTATTGAATAAAATTATTTAATTATTAAGTCATCTATAAATTTTAATGTTTATAAAATCATTTAGGGATTTAGGGTTGGATAAAATGATTTGGAGGTTTTATAATAATATCTATTAGTATTCATTCATATTAAGAAAAGTGCAAGTGGCCTAGTGGTTCTTTGTTGGAACGAGTTTTCCTTTGGTCACCGGTTCGATTCTCCAACATTTTTAAATTTTTAAAATGACACCGTTTGGACTTAACGGGAGATTAGGGACGGCGATTAACTCTGTCTAATCAATTTGTTATCCGAGTTAACGTCGTGTCTAATTTGGTTTAGTCAAACTAAATTGAGGTTTAAAATGGTTATTTAAATTAAGTTAGTATTTTAAATGGTCTAAGGCAAATTTCATATTTTTTTCAACCAAATTTTAAAGTTCGTGATTTAAATGATAATTTTTCCGAATATTTAAACATAATATAATTATTATTTTTGGGTATTTGGATATCATTTCGACTAACGGGCGTAACAATGGCTTTAATTTGTTCTATTTTAAGTCCGGTTTATTGGATTCTGATTTAGTAACCTAGTTATTCCGTAAAGCCCAATAACTGGCCCACTTTAGAACACTACGGGTCCCGCGAATCACTATCTTTATACCCGCCAAAATTCGAAGACAAAGATGCTCGTGTTATTACAGTTAGAGAAGTTTAACAGACTAATAAAAACGGTTATTCAATACTAAATCTCATGAGGTTGATAACAAGAGTTACAGAAACACTGAGCTCGTTAGTTGCAATAAGATGGTAATGTTGCTACACAAGCGAGAAACTCATAACCTTTCATGGCTTCCTTTTGAGAGAAAATGCTTTAACCTTCTCCAACAAAACCACCACCGTCACGGCGGAAGATTCTCCCTCCTTCAGATCCACGCGTTCATTCTCCGTCACGCCATAGAGACCAACATTCAAATCTTCACGAAACTCCTATCTGTTTCCGCCTCGGCTGTTGGGATTCGTCACGCACGTAAGTTGTTCGATGAAAGGCCTCAGAGAGAAGAAGAAGACAGTTTCCTCTGTAACTCAATGATCAAAGCCTATCTCGAAGCTAAACACTATACTCACTCTTTTAATCTTTATAGAGATCTAAGGACAGAAACGTCTTTTGCTCCTGATAATTTTACTTTCACTACTTTGACTAAGTCTTGTACTTTGAGTACGTGTGTTCACGAGGGTTTACAGTTGCATGGTCAGATTTGGAGATATGGGTTTTGTGCAGATATGTATGTTTCGACAGGAGTTGTTGATATGTACGCTAAGTTTGGGAAGATGAGTTGCGCGAGGAAAGTGTTCGACGAAATGCCTCAGAGAAGTGAGGTTTCTTGGACGGCTCTAATCTGCGGGTATGCTAGGTGTGGGGAGGTGGAAGTAGCGAGTAAGCTCTTTGATGAGATGCCTGAAGTTAAAGACGTTGTGATATATAACGCGATGATGGATGGTTATGTTAAGTCTGGTGATATGACCTCTGCTAGAAGATTGTTTGATGAGATGAGATTTAAAACTGTAGTCACTTGGACCACTATGATTCATGGTTACTGCGACAACGAAGACGTGGAATCCGCTAGGGAGTTGTTTGATGCGATGCCGGAGAAGAACATAGTTTCTTGGAATGCGATGATAGGTGGATACTGTCAGAATAAACAACCTCAAGAAGCTATAAGATTGTTTCAAGAAATGCAGGCAACCACGTCGCTGGATCCTGACGAGGTGACGATTGTGAGTGTGTTGCCAGCTGTTTCGGACATCGGTGCTCTCAGTCTAGGTGAGTGGTGTCACCGTTTTGTGCAGAGGAAGAAGTTTGATAAGAAGGTGAAAGTGTGTACAGCGATTCTTGACATGTACTCGAAATGCGGGGAGATAGAGAAGGCGAAGATAATCTTTGATGAGATGATAGAGAAAGAAGTAGCGTCGTGGAACGCTATGATAAACGGGTATGCTTTGAATGGGAATGCAAGTGGAGCTTTGGATCTGTTCTCGGCAATGCTGCTGAGAGAAGTAAAGCCAGATGAGGTCACAATGCTGGCGGTTCTCTCAGCTTGTAACCATGGAGGGTTAGTGGAGGAAGGAAGAAAATGGTTCCATATGATGGAAGAGTTTGGCCTTAATGCTAAGATTGAGCATTATGGCTGTATGGTTGATATACTAGGGAGAGCAGGACGCCTGGAGGAAGCAGAGGAGTTGATTAAAAGCATGCCTTATGAGCCAAACGGTATAATCCTAAGCGCTTTCTTGTGTTCATGTGGGCAAAGCAAGGATACAGAAAGAGCTGAGAGGATTCTGAAGAAGGCAGTTGAGTTGGAGCCTCGGAATGATGGGAATTATGTTCTGTTGAGGAACTTGTATGCTGCAGATTCAAGATGGGACGGTGTGAGGATGGTGAAAAACATGATGAGGAAGAACGAAGCTAAAAAAGAGGTCGGATGTAGCACGGTTGAGATAGGTTCTATTGTCTCGGAGTTTATATCAGGAGATACAACGCATCCGCATCTGAGAAACATACGTTTGGCTCTTGAGAAGCTGCTTATGCACATGAAGGCATCTGGTGAAAGCAAATCATATAATTATTTATCATATGTATACTAACTAAAACTGCCGAGAATACTCTATTATACTATTTTCAAAACTGGTATATACGGGGAGAATAAATGATACCCAACAGTTCATAATGGGCCTATATAGTCCCAAGTTAAATGGGCTTTGCGAATCGCAACCAGTCATGTGATAAAATAATAAACAAATCTTATCCACAAGGCAGCAGAGCATGGCATGTCTGCTTGGTTTGGTTTGGCTCATCCACTGAAAAACATTTGATTCGGTGAAGAAGACGAACAATGGCAATTCTCAGCAACGTCTCGTTTTCCTGCAGCAACATCTCTCTAAAACCATCTCTCCCTAACTCTTCTTCTCGTCCTCATTGTCTCCTTCGCTGCTCACAGGTAAATAATATTTCTCCCAACCTCTGAAACGCAGTGTGTACTGAAGAACCAGGAAACAAAACACAAATAGAGACTCTTTATTGATATTCTGTTGGTGGGTTTATAGCAGGAAGGGAAAGAAGTAGGGAGTCCATTGGTATGGTCATTAGGAGAAGAGGTTTCGAAGAGAAGCTTGCTTGCACTTGTCTCTGCTTCTCTCTTCTTTGTTGATCCTGCTCTTGCTTTTAAGGTAAAATCTCCTTTACGTGTCCTTTATTTGAGTGTAATGATTAGTGGTTTTTTCTAGGAAGAAGTTAAATATCATTGTATTAAACCCATAGAGTTGTTGTTAAGGTATGCAATTTTCTTAGATGGAATGCAACCTTTGAGTGTCTTTCATTAGGGGCTTTCTTTAAAGACATTTTTGTAAACTGATATTATTATTTGTTACACTTTTGCTGCAAACTATCTTTTTGAATGTGTCTATATACGGATGAAACTTAAAAAAAAAGGGTGGAGGACCCTATGGACAAGGAGTCACCAGGGGACAAGACTTATCCGGCAAGGATTTTAGTGGCCAGACTCTGATCAGGCAGGACTTCAAGACGGTAAATATAATTCCCCTTGTAAATGATTAAATCATCAAAAGTTATAGATCATCATCATCATGTACACTCTTGTGCAGTCCATCCTAAGACAAGCCAACTTCAAGGGTGCTAAGTTGTTAGGTGCTAGCTTCTTTGATGCAGACCTAACAGGTTTTGTTCTCTTTCCTTTTGTTGAAAATAACATAAAAATATGTAATAGAGAAGACTTCTGATTCATAATCATATCCAGGTGCTGATTTATCAGAAACTGATCTCCGAGGTGCAGATTTCTCCTTGGCTAACGTTACAAAGGTTGTGTCCATGTATGTGTTTAAAGCTAGCAAAGCAAAAAAAAGATATGTGATCTTAATGGTGAATAGATAAAACATTTTTGCAGGTGAATTTAACAAACGCTAACTTGGAAGGAGCAACTGCTACTGGTAACACATCATTTAAGGGTTCAAACATTACAGGCGCAGGTTGAAAAAGAAGAAAGATTTCATTATAACAACAACAAGAACCCTCTCTTTATTATATTTGAGCTTTATACAATTTTTTTGTCTTGAATGTGGATTTTAGATTTCACTGATGTTCCTCTAAGAGATGATCAACGAGAATACCTTTGCCGAATCGCTGATGGGTAAAATCTCTTCTACTCTCATCTCTTGGAATCAATATTTATTCTTTATCTTAATGTGATGTAATTTTAATGTTTGCATTTTTGTATTTTCTTTGACTCACAAGGGTTAATGCGACCACTGGGAATGCCACGAGGGACACATTGCTTTGCAACTAAACTGTTAAGTGTAAATCATTGTATCGTTGGGAGTCTTCTTTTTCTGAGTTTTTCTAAAAGCTTTTTTGTTAATGATATTGTTGCAGAGTGAGTGTGTATATAAATATACTTACTGTTCTCAAGTCCGTTTGACATTCAGAGATTATGTATGTTACAGAACATTATAAAAAAAAAAACCCAAACATGATGGTTAAACAAAATAATTGCCACATTTTTTGTGTGGGAACTTTACTTGTAAATTCCATGATTGTCGACTAACTAAATTTCCGTAAGAGTAATGTATAAAATTTCTCGGGGCTTAGTGTGTGCCCCCATCAGTTGGATTCGATTTCTCCTGGGCATTAAATTATCATTATTTGGTCGGTTTGGATTTAGGTTTTGGTCCAATTGGTTTACATGGTGGATTATAACAGTTGATCGATTCATCCCCTGGCATTAATCTGATGGTATTCTAAATTTGGGTTAGACGGTGTGGTAGTAAATCTACTCTGTAGTACTAAGTACGTTTTTCTCGGGACCGACTGGATCAGCCGATAGGGTTTATAAAAAAAAGAAAGTAATGTATGAAATTCTTAATGTGTGTATAGTAAAATGAAAAGATGCGACTTGTTTATTTTTCTATAACCAATTTACAGTTGTCTTTTCGTCTAATATTGGCAAAAAATTTTAAATATTTTATGAATAACTCGAAGTTATCTGTTTATTACTTGTTTACAGTTGTGTCTTTTCGTTCAACCAACTTACGGTTGTTTCTATTTTACGAATATTTGTTTCTACATACGTTTAACATAAAATTATCTGTTTAAAAAAATAAAAAATTCTAATAAATTCAAGAAAATACACAAAAGAAAAGCTGGCGAAATATTTAAATTTTTTTTATAAATTACTTTTTAAATTACACAACAAAAAACATAAGATCGAAGTATTATTGTATGGGTATTTTTAAAAGTAGCTGACTGTTTGGCTAAGAAGTCTTTTATGTATAATAGTTTTTTCTTTTGAACTGATTTTATGTATACTAGTTTTCAGATGTTTAATGTTCCTGTATTGCTGCAACACTTATTGTATTTCTCTTTTACAATCTGATAAATTTAGTTGACGAAAAAAAAACTAAAATGATTTTTAGAAAACAGTTTACCAAAAAAATGATTTTAGAAAACCTTATAACAAAAAAAAGAAAAAAAAAAAGAATTGTGTTTTCTTACAAAATCTACCTAGTGCGTACGTGAACTGAATGTTAGTCAAAGTTTCTATAAACCTCATACAGTGTTTGATAATATGCATTAATGTTTAGATATTATTCCATAACAACCCCAACCGTTGTATCCCTACATACCCCGGCCCTTCATTATTTATACATACACAAAACACATATCAAACATTTGTGCTCATCTCTTGTTTTCTCAAAAAGAAGTGAGAAGAATAAGAGAAAGAGAAACCATGTCGAAGTTGAATGCTAATGCCCCTTCTTTTCATCCGGTGTACACCGACGAACATGCCCTTTTTCTTACATTCTCCAATGGCTTCCCTCTGTCGGAAATGCAAATCTTCAACTTCTTTAACAGGCAAGTAACCTTATTTCCTAACTATCTATTCTTACAGTCGTTTTTGTTTTGTGCAATGCATTGGCATCAAACCATACCCTGTACATCAGAATTCCAGTTTCATCGTTACATAGAATGTTAGTTTTGTGTAAGTTAAATGTCATAACCTATGAACTAACTCATACACACTCTTCTATGTTATATGACAGTCTTTAAATGGGTACTAATTCTGGTTAGTTTGTATAGATGTTATATCTCGTAGACATATACTTGCATGTTACATCCTCATCGCATTTCTCAAGATAAAACGCATGGAAAGGTGTCTTGCTTGTTACATTTGGTGATTCACCATACGGTTTTGCTGATATAATTTTTTGAGATAACCAATTGGTTCTATATATATGTTGACGATGATATTAATGTTTAAGTTGATGATTATTATCAGTTATTATCCATCGTCTGTTGAACGGGTGAATGTGCACACGCCTATGGGAGGAAGAGGGCCATCTTTGTTCGGAAAAATTGTTTTTAGAGATATACGCATTCCAGCCTTACTGATGGGAAACAAAGAAAGAATATCTTTCCTAGTGGAGGGGCACCATCTCTACTGCAAAAGGTTCGTTAGCCAGCCTAGCCAGCCGAGTAATCCCGCAGCCTCTGCGAGTAACATCAACTCTGAATCTTCTGATGGTGGAACCCACTCCAGGGGTGAAGAGTGATCATCATAAGCATTCATGAAATTAAAACTCTTTGGATTGTTGTATCAGTCGAAGGGGTTTTAACTGGACCTAGCAAGAATCAGTTTGTTGTTTTTCAGTTTAATTAATAAGGGCGTAAACGTATGACTATGAGAACGCTTGTCGGAGATGTACATCTCTGTTCATATATTATTTGAAATGCTTTTATTTTGGATTTCTTTTTGTTTTTTATTTTATTTTATTTTTACAATTTTGAGCAAAATTGTGACATAAAATATATAATCAACTTAGAGTCATTAAATGTTGTATGAAATAAACAGAATTACAAAGAAAGACTCTTTTTATTGATTGTAAAATATAACAAATGAAACCAGTCACTTTTGTATTGAAATATTTAGCAAGTAGTTAGCATTCGTAAAGACTTTTTATTTTATTTTTTCTAACAATTATCAATGAAACAAAATGTTAAGAAAAAAGTTTAAAATTATTATTGTATAAGAAAACTAATTAAGGTTTTTGAAACGAAGGTGGAGTAATCTGGGATCAAGGGGGACTATTGTCTTTTTGCGTCACTTGAAGAACAGAAGCCACCGTCCCAATCAACGTTAACACGAGTAGAAAGAAGGCGACAACGTGGGCAGTTCCAGTCCAAAGGTCTTTGAAGTAGACTCGCCGGAGAGTGGCGACGGTTCTGTTAAAACTGTTTTCGTAGTGGTTGTTGAGTCTTTCAGATATATCGTAATAGTGACAGCCCTCATCAACAATCTCTAGAGACAACCTGTTCACCATTTCTTCAATTGGTCCTCTACGTCCCAACCAGTTCTTTATAATCCCTGTAACATGTAACAATTAATATACTTACTATGAATCTCACGATCTAATCATTAAAAAAAAAGTGGTAACCCTAAAATGACATGTAATATTTTGTTCGACCTTTATTTTATCAAATAAATAAGAGATAAAGTGGTAACCCTAAAATTAACCGACAACTATAATGCGCAGCCGTATGTAAATGCCTTTACAATGCTTATTAGTAATGAGATCAGAAAAGATTGAAAAAGTATACCTTTGTTGACGAGCAAGTCAACGTCACTCTCAGTGTCAATGAGACAGTCCAAGAAGTCGATGTAGTTACAAACAAAGGCTGTGTAATGGTAATGACATTGCTCCAGTGCCATTATGCTCCTAAAAACCCTTTCAGTTGCATCTTCTGCCTTGAAGCAAGGCATTGTCAAGATTCCACGTTCAAATTTAATCATCAACGAGGCCTCTTCTTCAGAACATTCAAATTCAACTCCTGCACTATTCAACATCTCTGCGTTACGAAGTCTCGCTATCGACTCCTTTCTCACAAGTTTCGCGTTAATCTGCTCTTCTTCCGTTAGACCAAGTGTCTGGACAAGGACAAGCCGACGCAAATCCGTGAAATGTAGGAACCTCTTGTCTCTTGTGACCTTTCCTTGGATCCCAAAACCTTGAAGGATAATGTCACGGAACGTTATGTTACCCTCAAACTTTGCATAAAAGGGTTCGAAGAGGCTTTCTAAAAGGGTATATGGAAGTTGGTTTTCAAGTAATATTAGGTCACCAAAGATAGTGTATTGGTAGCAAGGCTCGTCGAAAAGAAAATCTCCTGTTTTGTCGATGTATCTAGGTCCAATGTGCATGAAAAACACTAGAATGAACACCGAGTCGTGAAGCATCATTTCGACGAAGTCATTAGAGTTGATCGAATCCGTTGGTTCTGCGTAACATGCTCGTATGAACTGCTCATCTCTTTTGATGATGCTTCTGAATTCCTCAACCGTTTGTTTCCCATAAGTAAGTGCAATATTCTCAAGGTACTTCTTCTTGTGCAGCTCCATCTTGTTATAGTACATATATCTGACAAATCAAGACGCTTAAAAACTGCTTAGCCAGGAAGGAGTTGAATAAACGAACCAGAATTTCTAAAAATCGACAAACCAAACTTTATTTTAACATTGAACTGTGATGATATCTTTTTTATCTAACTTAGACCATCAACATTGATGAAAGACTATTGGATTTCCCACAACATGTTTTAATATATAATAAAACATAAATAATATTCTAGGGTTTTCGTTCCTAACGCCGCCGGCGACGGAGCCTCACGCCCGTCTCTGAGAATCTCTCCCCCCCCCCCTTTTCGTTCTTCTCTCATGGCTCTTGCTTGTCTTGCTTCGCAGGAACCTCCTTGGCCTCCAGATCTTCTTTTCTTAAAACCAGATCTGGAATCTCATCTGTCGGTCTATGATTCCCGTTCTGCTAATCTCACCCTCGAGGCTGCTCCCACTGTTTCTCCCTCGCCTTCCTTGGCCGCTGAATCCCGTCCTCCTCCCAGCTCTGACTCTTTCGCGAAGGCCCCCTGTGCTCTTGTTGCTGCGCCCGGAAAAGTGGATCTTTGGATCAACAAACTCAAATCGCCTCCAGGGAAACTCTCCAAGCTCGGGTCACCTTCTCTTGCCTCTGACGGATCCTCTGTTATTAAGGCCCCAGATTCTATTTCACTTCGCCCCTCCAATCTTTGGAAGGGTTATCTGGTTGCGCAATTTCATGGCACACCTCCTTCTCCATCGAAGATTTTTGCTGACTTGAACCCAATTTGGGGTAAACAAGGGAGGATAAAAATTAAGAATCTTTCAAATGGAGTTTGCTACATCTACATTCCCTGCGAACTCACCAGACAGTGGGTTCTTGACGTCGGGTTTTGGCACTCTGGAAACTGCTCCTTCACTGTGTTTGCTTGGTCTCCGACCCTTAAGCTTCCCAAGATGAAACTGGACTTTGCCCCGGTTTGGATTCTCTGCCGCAACGTTCCTATCGAGTTATGGTCTCAGGAAGGATTCAGTACTATTGCATCTGGTGTTGGTTTTCCTGTTCAGTCCGAATTCCCAGTTATCAAGCCTTTTACTAATGGCGTGGTGAAGCTCAAAGTCGTCATTGAGTTAGCAGCTAAGCGTCCTCCCTTCGTTAAGGTGGTTGATAAGGAGGGGAATTCAGCTATTGTCTACGTGGAGTTTCTTAAAGTTCCTCCTAAGTGTGTGCGATGTCATGAATTTGGCCATTTGGATCTTCGTTGCCCCTCCTCACTCTCCAAATCTGCTCCCATTCTTCCCCCACCTGCCGGTCCAGACGCTGGTTCTTCTCAACCTAAATCTCCGGCTCTTGTTAAGAGCGCTTCTTCATCCTCTCCCTCTTCCCCTGTTCATGGGCAGCCTTCAAATTTACGTCGGTTTACTAGTCTCCCTTCTCCTTCGCCAGTGAAATCAGCAGCTCAACTCGCCTCTGGAAAGCAAATTGGTCCCTCGCTAGAGTGGCACCCGGTTGTTCACAAAAACACACCCCCGGCTCGGTCCTCCTCTGTTTCTCAAGTCGGCGCTACAGTCACTACATCGCAGTTTGAAAAAGAAGAAGAGTTGATCAAATCGGCACAAAAGATTTTAAGGGCTAGATTGTCTACTCCTGCAGCTAATACCTCTTCCCTCAGGACTGCAGCTGACCGGAAAAAATTGAGACAACAGCATCGGGATTCTCTTATGGTTATGTCTTCCTCTACTGCTTCTGGTGATTCAATAAATAAAGCTGCATTGTTTCCTCAAGTTATTGATTCGGCTGGAACCTCTTTACCAAAGGGGGCTCCTCCCTTTGTTGAAGCTTAGTGCTTCTGTCCCTCCTTTTTTGTCCTTCTTTATGAAGTGTTTTTGTTGGAATGTAAGGGGCCTTAATGGCAATACTCGTCAATCTGATGTACCTCGGTGGATTCGCACCAACCGACCTTCTATAGGCGGTCTTTTGGAAACTCGTGTGAAACAAGAAAATTTGAATGCACTTATGGCTCAATCATTTCCGGGATGGAGTTTCGACTCTAATCACTCTTCTGAAGCAGTTAACGGGCGCATTGTGGTTATTTGGAATCCAAATTTATCTGTGGTTGTCTATCTCAAAACGTCTCAGATCATGGTCTGCGGAGTCTTTGACCCTATTACTAGCTGCTCCTTCACTGTGGCCTTCGTCTACGCCTTTAATGACCGAATGGATCGCTTACCTCTTTGGGATGATATTCAAAGGTTGGCCTCATCTTCTATTCTCCGCAACGCTCCTTGGATTGTCTTGGGTGATTTTAACCAAGTCTTGGCAGTGTCGGAAACCTTCTCTCTATCTGCACCAGTTATCTCTTTGGATGGTATGGCAGATTTCCATGACTGCTTGTTTGAAAGTGGATTATTTGACTTATCTTTTGGAGGATGTTTTTTAACTTGGAGCAACAAAAGTCCCACTAACCCAAAAGCAAGGAAACTTGACCGCGCCTTGATTAATGAAGCCTGGCAAGACTCGTTCCCTACCTCCAACGCTCTCTTTGACGCCCCTGGTTCTTCGGATCATTCTCCTTGTCTGGTTTTTATCACTGATGACTCTCCGTCTCGGAAGGTCAGGTTCACGTATTTCTCCTTCTTTGGATCTCACCCTGATTTTGGACAGTTGCTAGCCTCCGTCTGGACCGCAGCCTCGTCTGTCTCTGCACCGCTTTATGTCTTATATCAGAAACTCCGTTCCGCTAAGCTTCTTTGTAAATCTCTCAACCGGCGTTGTTTCAGCAATATCCAGGGCAGAACTAAAGAAGCTTTCGAAAATCTGGAGTCTATTCAAAAGCGTTTATTATCTTCTCCTTCTCAGGAGCTCTTCTTTGAGGAGCAAGCTGCAAGGGACTCTTGGCTTTGCTTATCTGCTGCTGAGAAAAATTTCTTTCAACTTAAATCTCGGGTTAGATGGACTAACAAGGGTGATGCCAACACTGGATTTTTCCATAAGTGTGTTAAAGCAAACCTGTCAAGAAATGTGATTCTTCTCCTTGTGGATGGCGATGGGAATAGATTGGTATCTCCTACAGAATTGAAAGAGCATATTATTCGCTTCTATTCCTATCTTCAGGGTCGCTCAAACTTAGCAGTGACTCCGTCTTCTGTTGCTCAAATTCAGTTGATCCATTCTTTCCGCTGTTGTGTTTCTTTAGCCCCATTGCTGACTGCCATCCCCTCTGCTGAGGTTATTAAAGATACTCTTTTCTCCTTGCCTAATTCAAAAGCCCCTGGTCCTGATGGTTTTTCGGCTGAGTTCTTCAAGGAGGCTTGGAATATTGTTGGTGGAGATGTCATTGCTGCTGTCCGTGATTTCTTTTTGTCTTCTTATCTTCCCAGACAGGCAAATGCTACTGTTCTATCCTTGATTCCTAAGGTCCCTGGAGCGACTTCTCTCTCAGACTTCCGGCCTATTTCTCTCTGCAATACAGTTTATAAAATCATCTCCAAGATCCTGGCGAGTAGATTACATCTTTTTGCCGATAAAGCAGTCCAAGGGAACCAGGTCGGTTTTGTCAAGGGCCGTTTATTATGTGAGAATGTTCTGCTAGCTTCTGAGCTGGTGTCAGATTTTCAGAAAGAGGGTAGAACGAGACGGGGCTGCATTCAGCTGGACATCTCTAAGGCTTTTGACAGTGTTGAATGGGAATTTATTCTAAATATTCTTCAGGCCTATGAGCTTCCTGACTTATTCATCTCTTGGATCAGACTTTGTATCTCTTCGCCTCATTACTCTATTTCCCTCAATGGCGAACTAGTAGGTTTCATTCCGGGCAAAAAAGGACTACGACAAGGAGATCCAATCTCATCCATTCTATTTGTTATGGCTATGGACATTCTATCCAAAGATTTAGACAATGCTGCTTCTCTTGAGATTTTCAATCCCCATCCAGAATGCTATGATCCTCTTGTCACTCACCTTAGCTTCGCAGACGACGTCCTAATTTTCTTTGATGGCTCTAGTGACTCTCTAAGTGGTATCATGCAGGTTCTTCGTGATTTTCAGTCCAAATCTGGTCTGGCCCTTAATCTGAGAAAGACAAAGGTTTTCATTGATGGAAATAATATCTCTGATTGTCATGCCTTAGCTACTCGTTTTGGTTTACAGCAAGGAGCTCTTCCTGTCAAATATCTTGGACTTCCCCTCTCTCCGAAAAAACTCTCTAAGCGTGACTACCAACCTTTGATTGACAGAGTAAGATCAAGAATCTCTTCTTGGACAGCAAGACACCTTTCCTTTGCTGGGCGTCTTCAGTTGATTCAGACTGTTCTTTTTGGGATAATTAACTTCTGGTCAGCAGCTTTCCCTCTTCCGAAATCTTGTTTCGATCAGCTAGAGAACCTGTGCAATGCCTTCCTCTGGTCGGGAGGGCCTGAATCTGCGAGATCTGCTAAAGTCTCTTGGTCTTCGGTTTGTACAGGGAAAGAATCAGGTGGTTTAGGGTTAAAAAGACTTCTGGGCCTCAATCAAGTTTATGGCCTGAAACTTATTTGGTTGTTGTTTTCTTCGAATGGTTCTCTTTGGGTAGCTTGGGTTGAGCGTAATCTCCTTCAAGGTAAATATTTTTGGTCTTCTGATCTGCCTAACACAGGAAGTTGGATTTGGAGACAACTTCTTGACTTGAAGGAAATTGCCAAACCTCTTATCTCCTGTCAACTTGGAAATGGAAGGAAAGCTTTTTTCTGGCTTGACAATTGGACAGGGCATGGAAGTTTGTTGGATCTTGTTGGTCCCGCTGGTCCCCTCCTCTCCGGAATTTCTCAGCTTGCCACTGTTTCAGAAGTTGTTGGACCGTCCGGTTGGCTTGTGTCTAGGAGCAGGAATCCTGTTCTTCGTTTGCTGCGAAGTTTCCTTCCGCAACAGCCTCCAGACATCATCAGTCTCTCTCCTGACCTTTTCACCTGGAGGAACTCTATTGCAGATCCTCCTTCGGACTTCAAAATTGCAAATATTCACAGAGCTCTGAACCCTGACCCTCCTTCGGTTGATTGGCATTCTCTGGTCTGGTTTAAAGAAAAAATTCCCAAACATGCTTTCATCACTTGGACAGTAATGTGGCAGAGACTGGTGACAAGAGATAAGTTGGCTTCTTGGGGTCTCAATGTCCCTACAACCTGTTTGTTGTGTGCTTCAGGTTCCGAAACGATTGGACACCTCTTTTTTTCCTGCAGCTACTCTACTGAGGTCTGGTCATCTTTCTTCTCCCATACCTCTCTTTCTCCTCCATCCATCTTCACTGATTTTGTAGTTTGGCTGAGGACTGTCTTGTCCAGTAAGAAGGTTAAAGCTATTATTAAGCTTATATTCCAAGCGTGCATCTATTTTCTTTGGAGGGAGAGAAACTCAAGACTACATTCAGCTACTTTGAAGCCTTTTCATGTAATTCAAAGAGAGATTCAACTTCATATCAGGGCTCGCTTGCTAGGATTGGACCAGGAATCCTATAAAGCTTTAGCCACCCGTCCGGCTTCTCATCGCTCCTATCTCTCCCTATGGTTCGAAATTTTTCAGCCATAACTTGAGCCTAGGTTCTCTTAAATTTCTCTTTATCACACTTGTTTCACTTGTTCCACTTTTCTGTTTGTCTCTTTTCCATTTTTCAAACTGTTGTAATGATGTCTCTTTAAGAGAGGAAGAAAAATGGAATAAAATGTACTTACCTAAAAAAAAAAAAAAAAAAAAAAAAAAAAAAAAAAAAA